ACTAGTCACGTGACCAACTTTACAAGGTAAACTTTCAAAACAAATTTCTAACCTCAATCACGGGTTTTCAAACCCTTTATAAAGGGTTTTAATTTTGTTTTCATTTGATACAAAAAGTAAATAGTTGTAGAAACGCAGTCTTTTCTTTTAATTAATAAATATATAGACACATAGGTAAAACAATCACACATTATTTATCAAACCGCTATTATTTATGTTCATCAATGAGCCCGCCGGCGCGGCGTCGCGTCGCTGCAATCAACACGGTGATTGTAGTAGCCGGTTGTAGGCCTAGTTGCGGCGCTCAACAGTTGGGTGGAAGTTGATCTGTGTCTGCCGCATTCGCTGTGATTTGTATAGTTTTTGTTTTATTCTGACATATAAAATTAAGCTTCCTATGAGTAAAGAAAAAAAGGCTCAACATTTGAATGTAATTAAATCGTCTTAGGACATTTTATTAGAAACGTTTTCAAGTACCCTAACCTATGTTTTCAAATATTCGAATGCATAAGAATATTTGGGTTAAAAACCATTCTGTGATATTCTAATTTTGAGTCTACAAACCGTGAATAATAAACCTAAACGTTTATTGATGTAACAAATAATTGCAACGCCGTTACAAGCAATGGAGAAGTAGGTTTTCAAGTATAGTAAAACCTAGCAGCGCTATTGCACTAGCACAATTGCGTCCATAGTGCTATTGCAGGGCGTAGCTCAGAGGTAGAGTTTTCGCTTCTCATGTGGTGGGTCCCTGGCTCAAATCCGCACCACTCACTATACTTTAGTTCCATTAATAAACACACATATTCTGACACTAGTTGTAACATACACATATTCTGTGTACATGTGTACACATATTCTGTAGTTTAGTTGTAACTTTTACATGTTTTACATTTAAATAACAGCTCTAATCAAAATCTAATTTTTTTATTACTTTGAATAACAAATCAGAATACCAAAATGGATTAAAAGTAATGTTTTTATGATAAGCAGTTCAGTCCAACGCCCAAAAATCAAATATAGGCCTACAAAATTGTTAGTACATTACAGGGTTTTAGCTATTTAGGGAAACAAATAATAAGCACCTAAAAAAAATACAATGCAACTCCTCTTTAAAATTTTCTTACTATTATTTCCTATTAAAATGTATTTAAATAAAACCGAGAGCCTTGGGAGTAAAATAATCTGATTAATGTTGCAATGTTGGATACATTTTTGTACATCTTTGTATGCAATACGGTATGCTGTTTTACTTTGGTTTCTCTCAAAGCTTAAAAATTTTTTCTCTGTGATAGCTAAATAGTTGATATAACCATGAAATTTAACTTAAGTAAAATTAGACTAAAATTTCACATAAATTGATAACTTATAATTATCATTAATTGTAATAGGGCGATTTTCCATACATTATAAAATGCAATTTCACTCTTTTTGTACTACGCCACATTTATTGATTGTAATTTATATCTAATAATAATAATCATTTTAGCACTCATAGATCTATTTTTATCTTAAATTGCAAACATGAGCCAATTCGCACTTGCAAAAAGAACTTAATAATTCATAGTTTTAAATTATGTGAGTAATGAAATAACTCTCTTTCCAAAAATACTAGTCTACTTCAAATAATACGGGAGTAGAGAGGTTGTTAGAAAATGGCAAGTATTTACCAGTGTAATTTACAAGAGTAAAACTTTATGAAACACATTGCTGTCTACACAAGTAAAAACCACTAGTAATACTAGTCCCTACACTAGTAACTAGTATTTTACACTAGTAGGTTTTTGAAACGTAGACTTGTAAAATACACTAGTATTACTAGTCCATGGACTAGTAAATACTAGACTAGTAGTTTTATGAAACAGGGCCGCGAGTCTATCCCATCTGTGCTACGATATAGGCGAATAGCAGACGTGTTTTATTCTTCTATACTGTGTTTTGTATTTCAATTATCATCATCACTTTAACTTTGGGACACGCATAGACTAACCAACAAAAGTATACTTCTCATCTCATTGTAAATTTTGAAGCTCGTTTTCCGTGTCTAATTCATGTCCGGTGACACTGATCGCTAGTGTTGACGAAATTGTATTTATATTATTTTAGAGTTAATCTAATGATTTGTGCTTACTGTTGGTTATATAACTTGGGTACGAGTTATTGTTTATGATAAGATCGTTTTATTTGAACGAGGTTTTAAATGGCTGAAATAACAAGAAACAAATTGTAAACAAAACACAACCTCTACAATACACGTACAGATTCTGTTACTTACAGAACTAACAATATAACTGGCTACAGCTGATACATAAGGGTGAGAAATCTACTAAGGTAGTACGTTTATCCATGGTACACGATAATCATAGTATTTTACAGGCACTTCCAAATTACCAAAATATTTAATAAAGTTTGTTCAGAAGGACTTTTAAGTACACATGTCGATTTTTAGAGAGGCTAAATGGTACATCTCACACACCCCTATTGTAAATTTTTTTTCTTAACTATGAAACTTTGATTTTTATATTAAATTACTGTATTCGTAGTAAATACGATTTTCCTAGATTTATAAAAACTATAATTAACTTTTTCAAAGAAAATTTGCCAGTGTAAAAGGACGAAAATTCTCAAACAACCTGATAATCTAACAATTAGATTGGTATTCAACCCAAGTGAGCTAGATCTAGATTATGTATAGCTTACAATAAACCTGTGAAATTGAATATTTTTTTAATAAATCAAAATTTTTACATCAAGACTTGAGGAACGGGTGAAAACAGCTCAACTTTGAAAATCTTTGCAAACTTTTGAGAAACCAAATTGCATCTCAAAAGCTTTACCTACTAAACGGTGAATCAAAACCAATCCTACCTTAGCCAATTTATGGCGAATATACGTTTAAATAATAATAAATTGAGGAAATAAAATAGCTAAAATTAAATGTAAATTCAATGGAGACGTGTTAATTTTTTATCAAAACAAATCCTTTATTAGACGAAATAAATCTGTTTCTTCTTTATTTGGGAAAAAATGAACAAGGTGGGAGTAACCATGGTTTTTATGAGGAAAATCACAAAAAATGCAATAACTTTAAAACAGTGATTTTTATATACGAAATTAGACATTCTGAAACACCACACTATAGGCCTGTTTTTACCCTGTACAGAAAACGTGTGTTACCCATACACTCTTCACCCCTGACAGAATACTACTAAATGTTACCTTTAACTTTCTATACTTTCGCCGCCAGTTTCTCCCGCCATATTGCCCCCCCCCCCCACAGGTGTCAGCTACCCGACGCCAGTGTCAAGTTACCAGGGGAGGGTGTTAGGGGTGTTCCGTTACCATGACTACCATGGTTGCTATGTAACCCTACACCCAGCTTCAGATATATTGATCACATTACATTATGGCTGTATTTTATTTCACACCTCGCCCCTTTTGGCTTGCAAGGTGGCGAATCTAAGATATAACTGTGGAGGTAGAGTTGTGTTTTGCAAGGATATTTTTAAAATATACCATTTTAATTATTTTTGGCCTACGAACACAGTTTATTTATCTATTGAAACTTAATCACATTCTATCGTAGATTTTTTAAAGAGGCTGAAAAAATGTTTTGCTTATATACAATCAATACAACTTCCTTAAATTCAGTACTTTTATAGGGAAGGAGGATGTTTTGAATAGTATGAATGGTGTAATATGGGATTGACGAGAAAAAAATTGTATGACTTATTTAAAATATAGCAGTGGTCTATGTTTTGTCATTTGAGTGGTATATTTCATAATAACCTCCCGACTTTTCACTAAATATTTCGTGAATTTATTTTCCCGCCTTATTCTTTTATTTTTTGCAAACTAAATAAATAGGGTAATTAAAATTATGAAATTTGACCTAAATGTTTATTGTATTGTATTTTATTATTAGGATCATTGTATGGGATCAGAAGTAGTATCTATAGTATTTATTTAATTCTTTTAAACCGTATTCTAAAACCAACATACAAATATAATTATACGATGAAAATTTTAAATCATCAGTGTTTGTTAGAAAAACCATGCTTAGTTTTCCGTAAAAAATGCGGTTTTTATAGTTAGATAGGGTTTTGGAAAAGTCACTAGAATACAATTACTGGACATAGTATGGCCTATTCAAATTTCTATTTAGTTTAACAGCTATTCAACTGCCACTAAAATTACGAACCCTGTATCCAGTTTTTCTTTTAGTCTGATCAGCTGTTTGTTATTAAAATTGCCACTAAAATTACCATCCCTGTATCCAGTTTTTCTTTTATTCTGATCAGCTATTTGCTAATTAACTGCCACTAAAATTACCAACCCTGTATCCAGATTGTCTTTTACTCTGATCAGCTGTTTGCTATTGAACTGCCACTAAAATTACCAATCCTGTATCCAGATTTTCTTTCAGTCTAATCAGCTGTTTGCTATTCGACTGCCACTAAAATTACCAACCCTGTATCCAGATTTTCTTGTAGTCTGGTCAGGTGTTTTATTAAATTACTGATAAAATTGCTTTAACATATTTTGGCAAGTTTCATGTTGGATATTTTACACAATTAGGAAAGAACACTCAGTAAACGTAAAACGTAACTAACCTTTTATTTGCAATCACATGATGATGTCATAAAACAACTTGCAGTACCAATTCTAGGAAATTTTAGTAAAACAGATCATTATGTTAGCCCATATTGTAGAAAACTTTACATAGCCTATAGGCCTATTCCTATTGTTTATAATTTTTCGTTGTCAAACTAGATTATTAATTATTTATTGATCTAGTATACTGTATACGTCATATTTTAGGCTTATTCTGAAAGTTATTGATGATCGAACTTGCATCGTGATTGTTTTTGTATAATCTTAAACACTTATAACTAATAATATGTAATCACAGTTTCACTAAAAAATTATTCTTATTTAACTCTCTAAAGCTAAATCATAAAATTTACTCAACTAAAATATCCTACTTCTCATTTGAGATCCTTTATTTCAGACGAGTATTTCTTACATTGGCTATGATTTGAGTATTCTTCAGATACAAATTTAAATTTAAAATCTACTCAAAGATTTAGTGGACGGGCAAAAAGTTCCAATGATATAAAATTTAAAAGTATACAAGTAATATACAATCTTGACAATTGCATGAATGCATTTTTATATTTAAAAATATGAATTGACTAATCGTGGAGGGACTATGATTTAACAATCAAAATTCTATTCTATACACTAATTAAAACTATGGACTTAAAGTTATTTCTTTGGTACATTTAATATTTACAGTTATATGGTACAGTCTTAGAAGCTAAATGATCATTTACTTGTGATATTGGAAATTCTACTAATAATTCCAGTTTATTGATAGGTAAAAGCAAATATGATTTATTTTAACAAATAATTTAATGAACAATTTTAAGTATTTGTACGTGCTTTAAATGTATAGCTTTGTGTTTGACCAAACAACTTTAGGGTTTAAATTTGTCGTCATACACTCATCACTGCAAAAATCAATTCAATTCCTCACAATAGTTCTATGTTTTGTTGAAAATATTTAATTTTGGTACCAGTTTGCGATCAAATAGCTTTCACAAGGTTTCTACTATTACAAATATTTACAAATGTACAAATATTGGTTAGACTTAGATGATGCTTTTGTTAATCTCATAAGGTAACTGGTCATCTAATTTGTTATACAAAATATGTACATTATAATAATTACATGGTTTTTGGGAATACATCTTATTTACTCAACTAAACGTTGAACTTGAATATCGTCAACTGTCTTACGTATCACACTAATCTAATAAACCTGAAATGATTTTGTCATTACCAACAAAATTTTTCCACAAATAGAATTGTTGAAGAGTATGTTTAATCTATCGTTGAATGTATTGAATCAGAACAGTTTGTAAAATTTAGATTTAAACATTTGGTATGAGAACTATATGTTTAAACCGAAGGTAAAATTACAAATTAATACGGTAGGCTATTTAAGTAAAAAAATATCAATCAACATTACAAGTTTCAATCTTAGAAAAAATTCTAAAAATTAAGTAGTGTGGAATAAGTTATTTTGTATTTTTTTCTTCCCAATATGTTCCTGATCAGGGGAGCGAGCTAGTCTAGTGGTAGAGGGTGCGAATTTGGTTTTCGATATCCCGGGTTCAAATCCCGCCAATCTTTAATTGATTTTATTAAAATGATAATGACGTCTTTTAATGTAAAAAACAATCCCGGGCTAAAATGTTCCCTATTAGTCACGTCTTTATTCATAAATTACTACATAACATGGTTTTAACCTCAGAAGTCTATTATGTCAATGTTCACACTCGAAGAGGCCCCCACAGTTCAGGTTTACACTCATAGATGCTCGCAAAGTTCAGTTTTACAATCACAGATGCTCCCAAAGTTGAGGTTTACACTCAAAGATGCTCCCAAAGTTCAGGTTCACACTCACAGATGCTCCCAAAGTTGAGGTTTACACTCAGAGATGCTCCCAAAGTTCAGGTTCACACTCAGAGATGCTCCCACAAGCCGAGGTTCACACTCGTAGACTCTCCTACTCACGTGTGCTGGCTTGAGGTAAGAAACTGCTCGTATCCATGGTACGACGCCTGGGCTACCATGTGATGGAAGCTAGGGTGCACGCCCCCCTCGCTCTTGACCCCGTCCTTGTACATGAGGTCTAGGAGACCGCCGGACGACGGGCTTAGTAGGCACGTGGCGTCGCTAGAGATCACCAACTCGCTGGAACAAATGGATTTGATTAAAATTTGGATGTATTTATCATCAATTAATATTGATTAGTCGTTGGTAGTGAAATTTCTATTAAAGAGACCTTATTTCGTGTTTAAGGGGAATTCACGACATTTTCTCTCTGATTGATATTTTGGCATTAAATATTCCCCATATAACTGTATAGTGTTATATATTCAATGTCTTTGGTAATTTACATGGTTGCAAGATTACATAAAAAAATGTAGTTAATAGGGTATCCAATATATGGGTTTTCTGGTACGCAGTTTGCAACAAACTGTTAAAATACTTCAATATTATTATGTTTTTCTTGAAACTAAATATCACCGCCATCCCTTTTCCCAACACCGGCAGCAGTTAGAAACGGCGCGCTTCTGCTAATTACTTTTTTGCCCCGCTTAGTCCAAGTGTGTACGTGTGCCGACCCAAACTGACCATTTCCGCTCCCTAAAAGCAATCAATTTCAGTAATTCCGTTTCAGTGGGAATGATTATGCTGTTTACAATAAAATTAAATAATCAATTATGCGTATTTTAAGTTGAATGATACGAAAATTAAATTTACTGCTTGCGAATGTAAAGGAAACCATCGAAAAATTAGTAGCCTATGTAATCACGCCATCATCTCAAAGTTTGTCTTAAGAATTTAAATTATTTTTTTTGTGCTCAGCGAACACGTGGTCTGTGATGTGGTTGCGCGAATATTAGAACAGAAACGGTATGGGTCTCCAACATAAATAAATGACGTCACTAACCCGAATGTCAATCTAATAGCCGTCACAGCTGGTTTAAATTTTGTTATTGTTCCATTTTTAGAAAATGACATTTTTACTTTCGGGTCAGTTAAATAATTTGTTTATGTTTATGATCCACACAGTTTCTGTTCCAATGTTCTTGGGTCCGAAAAGGTCAGTAATATTGTGATGTTTGGAAACTAGGTCCAGCTCTTCTTGATCATTTTATGAATTTGCCTGGCTGAAGAAACCGCTGATCGTAGTCAGTAACAAAGTTATATAGTACACCCCACTCCATTCAACATTCAAATTCAGCAAACGCACCCAGGTGTGTGTCAGTGTCTAAGTAAAGAGTGATGAGTAATATTAAAACGCAGATAAATCGCTTGTTGTTATGCAAAATACCATGGCCTCCTCTAATGGTTGCGGCGAGATAAAAGTGGCAACGCCGCACTCCCGGCCTACCAAAGCAGCTGTTGCACTAACTCATTATGGGACGTATGCGCAATGTTTATGTTTACACATTTGTTGTAACCGTTACTCTGTGCCGTTACTATGGCAACAAATACAGTATCGCTAGGCATTTAGTGGGTAATTTAACGTTCGGAAACGGGAAAGCTAGCTTGCTATGAACTAAAATGTTTATATTTTTAGTTCCTTAGATGTGAAAGGTCTAAATAGAGCAATGTTCTTCAAAATTAATCGGGGTTTTCTTGTATTTGATTGATATTTTAGTTCACTACAGTCCACAAAGCCTACGTATCAAAGTGTGTTTACTAAGTGAACTTTTCAATCTAAATTAATAAAGTGTAACTTTAATTTCCTTTCAATCGCGTAGGCAAACTATGCAAATCGCAGAGGCAACCCCAACCCTCGTTTGGACGTTTTACAATGGTTTTACTCAAAGTTAAAAGTTTTCCACTATAGTGTCTGCCGTGTTGAGTGTTGCGTGCTGATACACGACACGGCAGCACGAGTGTAGACTGTACTCAGCGTGTTCCCACGACGTTGCTGACGTAGCTGTGGCTGCAGCACAACAACACATCTGCACAGCTATTGTTGCAGAAGCAGTGCTGCAAGACAGGTGGTTCAAAGCCCAAATAGTTCCACCACGGATATTAGAACGGACACAGTGTAGATCATAAACATAAACAAATTACGTTAGTGGCCCGAATCTTATGCTGATGACGTTAACATCTGGTTTGGACGTTATTTGAAAATTACATTTAAAACCAAAAAGATTTCCGAACCTACTTAATCATGCATCAAATTGTACAGTATTGTGTTTGTATTTTAACAAATTATATGTAATTCAATTAATCTTTTGTTTTGTTTACAAATATTATGTTAATTCAATCATGAATTATCGTCTCAAACCTTTTGTTCGTTCGTTCATCACATGTTCCAGTCTAGTGAGCCGAAACCCTACTGGACTGAGGCTGTTTTAGGGATTTGTCCTCTTCGGCCAGGGAAAGGATTGCAGCTGACGCAGTAGCAGAGACGAATGAGCAGTAAATGAGCAGTAAATAACGAATGAGTTTGATAACGAAGCTCAATTCTGCAATAGCCGCTGGTTGGGTTGGTTTGGGCGGTTTAAAAACAGTAAACACCTTTTGGAAACTTTGAAACTCTGACCTGAAGTGTCGTGCATGAATTGAAAATAATCCGTTGCGCCTTGGATCGACTGCTTCCTGTCGCTGATTACGAATAATATACATGGATCGCCGACCGATATCATCGATGATGAATACCGTTGTTTAACAATAAAGAGTTCTGCTGGAACATTTCGAGAATGGAATGAACGGATATTTTTCACACACCCAGTTGAAATCAGGATTATCGCGGGGTTTTTGGAAACTATAACTCACTGGGAATATATCCCTGCAGATTGACCCACGTGTGTGTGTGTGTGTGACGTGCACGTGTTCTCGACCCACGTGCGGAATGGTCAACATGTGTCCGAGACGGTCAGGAGGACTTGAGGCTAGGAATGCATAGAATTTTATAGAGTTTTAAGCCGAGTCGACTTCAGTGGTCCTGGAGTATACAGTAGTAATATTATCAAATTAAATAAACTGTTTATGTGGTACACAGCGCGGCGTTACACCGAAATGTGCGATTCCGAAAATGTGTTTCGGAGATGTGCCTATCGTAGTTATGCTGCGTGGCTGGATATCGTGTTAAATGTTAATGTATTGAACAAATCTTCAGTTAAAAACGTTCATAACGCTGGCAAATCACATGGCGGACTTCGTAAGATGATTAGAATGTAAAAAATACAATCATTTTGTAACTATTCAAATTTGTTTGCAAACTCTACACTTTAATGTCGCTACACCATCATAAAAGTAAAACCATTTACGAAATGTCTAAGATTTTAAGACATTGGCTGTTTTGTTTACGTGTGATACCGTTTATTACTATCGTTAGTGAAATGAGTTGGCGATCCTAAAACCTAGATGTTTTTTTACATGGAAATTGCAATTATTGTATACAACCTTCAATCAGTGTTTCACTGATTCTTCAAGAGATTAGACAGTCTTAGTTATTGAAACATTTTGTTCTATTATAAGCTAAGGGATTGTTGTGACTATGTCAAACTATGCTAACTAAAAAATGGATCTTCACATTATGCTCAAAGAGGATTTATTTCGTCGTATCCATTTCATTTTGTTTATCAGTGACCGCGGAATATGTTTACGATTTATCCTTAACCACAGAGGATATAGCACGTGAATAGTGTCTAAGGCCCTATATTAATCTATGACACTTCTCTAAGGAGCTATTGATTTTTGAAACATTCGTTTGTTTAGTTCCCGTAAGTTGGACGCTTATCTACTCCAAGCTACTTCACTAAAGCCTATTGTTGGCGAGATGCCCACTGCCCATTGCCCAAGTGTATCAGTCCAGAAGGGTTGTTAGTATAGTAATCTGCGGCGAGGGTTTTGTGCCCGTGTCAAGCTGTTTGCCCAGTCTACAATAATGTTTTTCCGTCTAACAATGCCCCTAAGCTCCTCTTCGCGCTACAAAACCCGATGAGAGGAATCCGTGTCCGCAACCTGTCATGTCATTTCACCGACTGCCCGTTTACACGCAGACGCTGGGCGCTGATGTATTCGTCAACAGGTTACGTTTAAAACTTTTACCTGTACCAATAGAAAGTCAATCTGTGAAAAAACTAAGTGTAATGATTGACGGTGTGTTAATATTAATATTGTTATTTTGCTTGGGGATAAGTTTTTCACAAGAGATTTTAGTTTTAGCGAATTTTCCATATAGTAATGCTATTAAGGTAGGTGATACCTGGCCCGGGACCAATTTACTGTTTCGTTTTGCTGTCCGTAGCGGTAAAAAACACCAACATTCATATACTTGTTTGTTCTCCGTTAGCACGATAACTGGAGTAAAAAGTGATCTGATTTTGATGGAATTTCGTACAAACTTGAAAACCTAAGAATATTTTTCCGATTTCGCGTACAGCCCTGATCGTATTACGAGAGCAGAGTTTTATGAGGGGTTATGATGGGGTAATAAGTCGGGTTTGCATTTTTTAAATCCTGAAAGCACAAAATTTTGGAGTTTCTTTCTAGACTATTTTGCATAGCTAAAAACCAAATATTTAAGTACCTATATTGTAGCATTACTGTACGGTTAATGGTTAATAAGAAAAAAAAATTAAAAAAGACCCCTGCGATATATGAAATTATATAAAACACGAACTATAAAATAGCACTTTTATTTTGACAGCAACGCATTAATCCGTTGACATTTGCATAAAATTGTGTCATTATGTTCATTCGTCGCAAACACCTCAAGAACATTGTATGAGTAGTCCATATAAGACCCGTTGTTTTCGTGAAAATTGATTATTTATCTGATCTATCTGCTAATGGAATTCATCAATGTTATTGTATATTTCCAGCTGGTCACAAATAAAGGGTAGGAGTAATAATAAGGAATTTGCTTTGATCTAAATCAAGTATAGTATATTGGTTTATCGATATAACATTTTAATATTTCAGTCAACCCAAAAGGGGTAGCCTAAACTTGCATTCATAATTATTGTGTACTGTAATGATGTGTAACAATATATTATTTAATAATTTTGCAATAATCTTAAAAAGAATATTAGTATATTGCATATAAGGATTGAAAGCCAATGGGGCGATCGATGCGTTGATGATTGATAGTCTTCGTACGAATTCACTATAGTCTCGTCTACAGAATAATAGCTTTTATTTGATGCCTATTGCACATTGCTAATTACAATTAAAATTGCTGATAAATCATAAAGTATTCTATACGGGTTTAATTAAATTCCCTTATCTATGGTTTTACGTTGTGGTTTTCTGGTGTGTTTTTGCTATCGATGCTATATTGCTTGACATCTGACAGTTTAAAACAAAATAGCTTAAGTAGTTTAATCAATAAAATGCCAATATATACCATAGGCCTATATTTAATTAATATTAGTATGACGTACAAAACATTTCAAATCCTATTTCCCTACAAACAATAACTTTTAATCGGTTGAACAATAACTTTTTGTGTACCTATAATACATTGTTGATAAATTGACGCATTACAGGTCTATTTTGTTTTTTGTATCGAAAGTTTTATTTTGCATATCACTCCCATTTTAAACCATTTTACCCACGACCGTTTATAAAGTAGCCGGTTCAGTTGAATTCATAGAATGGAAAAGTTTCACATAACAGCATTGTTTACTTTCATAACAGCATAGTTTTAATCATAACAACACAGGACCAATGAGATTCAAGGATTGAAAGAGAAGAAGTAAAAATGGAATGATTCGAACTTCAACTAATCAGCTGTTCAGGCTAATTTAATTGTTGAGTGGTGCAATTAGTGGTTTGTACAATGTTTCGTTGCATCACTGTCAGTGACAATGAGAGGTTATAAACGAAAACATAACCACTAGTTATGAGTTGTGATTTTAGTAATTAAAACACTGACGTAGGGTTTAACGGAGGGTTTTATGGGGTAAAAATTGGTTTTTCTCATTTTTTTACCCTTAGAACACAAAATCTTTCAATTTTTCTCCAGACCTTTTTAAAGAGTTTAAAAAACAAATAATTTAGTATATCAAAGTGTTTTTGTACGGTGGTTGGTTACGGAAAAAAATCAAAAAGTTGTTAATTTAAAAGTTTCAATTTATTCTTATGGAGAGTATTAAAATATGTTGTAGTTGGCTTGTTTAGGATATATTTTGATCAAACTTGGCGGATGTATTTATTTCATACTAAGGTTTCCCTGTAGCAGCTAACCTAGGTACTTGTTAAACATAAACGTTAATTTAATAGAATAATTGAAAATCAATCCAGACAAATGGAAATTTGCTTAGTCGTCAGGTTTGCTGCAGCGGGGGTATTTATTAAAGCTAAGGCTCGTACCTTACATTTTCTACTCGTGCCGTTAACACTATCTTTACGCAATCGTTGCGTAAACTCCTATTAAAGCATTCCTAACAATAATCGTATTGAAATTATGCATAGGCTTATTGAAATATCGTTTTAAATTTCTTTACGTCTCATTGCTAGTAAACTTATATAAATAAGAATAAGTTTTGCTAGTTTTAGAGACTGATGAAGTGATCTTAGTCGCAGAGTATTGTATTTTCCGCAATAAATAAACTTATAGCGATTTAAATTTATAACGATGTTGCTTCAGTGTTTTGCAATTAAAAACCACACTAGTTAACTTACGTTTTATATTTGAAAATGTCCACAGTTTGCAAATGACTTCTCTTGATAAATGATAGTTTTGTATAGGTAATAATTTGTTTTCAAGATAACATTGAATATCACTAATTAAGTGTAAAGACTGATCAATATGTTGAATTGATACGAAATTCAATATTTTGTGTCTATTGTAACCTATGATCTGGAATAGACAGTATTATTAGATTACAAACAAGCCAGATTAAATTATAGTTTCTGATTTTTATTTTCATAGCTGAGATATAGGAAACATTAATTAACTTAAATATGTACACGGATGTCGGATCTACGGTGTTTGAAGAATAATATCAATACTCTATAGCCTGTATGGTGGAATGTGTTTCCTGACCCGCAGGTCTACTTACTGGCCCTACCGTTGGCAAGTCCCCAGGTCTGGAGACAGGTTCCATCGTACAGACTATAACAAGTTATTATTTACATCCCCCAGGGTAAGTGTACTTACTTGCGTTGCTGCGGCGTCCTGTCCCTCTGTCTCCTGTTCTTGAACCAGTTGCTGACCTGCGTCATAGTGAGCCCAGTCGTCGTCGCCAAACACTTCTTCTCGTCCGGAGTAGGATATCGGTTCCTCTCATAACACTCCTTGAGTGCGTTGCGGCTCTTCTCCTTGAAACAATACACCGTCTCCTCACCGTCCCAGATGGTCTTCGGTAGCGGGTATTTCTTCCTCAGTCTGTACTTGTCCACAGCTCCTAGACTCCGTCCTCGGATGTTCTCCGCCTCCTTGTAGTGCGCCTTGAACCACATCTGCTGCAGCTGCGGGTGATGCCTCGGGTCGAAGTTGTGGCTCTCCAGGATAGCGTAGAGTTCGTGGTAGACTCCCCGGTGGTAGGCGACGATCGCTCGCGCTCTCAGCACCGACTCCTCCCCTCGCATGAGTTGATTTGGCGGTAACAACCAAAGGAACCTCGCGAGTTTCTCTACATCACCTGATTGTATGAGGGCTTCGCACAGACAGCTGATTTGCTCCGCGGAGAACCCCGGGAGTGGTCGCTTGGGCCCCAGGTACTCGGTCATGTCCTGCAGGACAGCTGGGGAGCTGATGGATCCTTCGCTGAGGTCCGAGGAGTAACTGCCTGGGGACAGGGTGGTGTTTTGCGGAGACGACATTACCTCTGGGTATTCCTTCCCATAACCTATCACTACCGCCCGACTACCGAGGGTGACGTCATCGTGAAAAACTAAGAAAATATACTACAAATTACGCGTCTGTCAGTGAGACTCGTTTAAATCACCTCCGAGCTCGCCCGAGCAGAAGATGCGATTTCATAACCTCAACAACAGGTGGGACACGACTGTGACAGTGGCGGGAGACGTCTGTGTGTCTAGTGAAGGGGCGGAGCTAACACCTGATTGGTCCTCCCCTCCACCCTTCCCCCCACCACCAGTGTCATCCCTGTATTCTCACGCCTCTATCAAAGCGTTATTGTCCCCTTTGTACCATCAGAATTACGATTGTTGCTGGCCCAATTGGGACGTGAAAACGCCGGCATGTCAGTCATGGGGACTTTTTTTGAAATTTTTTGTCATTCTTAACGCCTTGGGATGAATGGATTTTCATGAGGAGATTTTAGATAGTTTTCGCACCATGTTGAAGCTAGGTCTGAATGTAGACACGTGTGTCTTTTGTTCAAATTAATAATGCACCAAGATGTTTACAAGAAATTAAACAAAACGTATACCTAAATTCATCTAGAGGACAAAAATAAATTAAATAAATCGGCCCCCACTTATGTTCAAGGTGAATAAATAACATTATATTATAACAATCTTTTTGAAAACATTATTTGGTTTACAAACACATCATTATTTACATAAACATAAATTTCGTCTATGGTCGTTTTCTATTGAATATTTTTTGGAAAAAGCAAATTAAACATTTTATACTACGTGTTTGTTGTTATTTTTAGTAATTGGAGAGGCATTGATAGTATTTGCAAGTAAAAGCTCAAGTATTAACTCAAGAGCTGCCACAAGAGAAAATGCTTTAATATTTCACAATAATTTTTCCACACGTCCTGTTTTTCTTCTGAATTTAAAGGTGAAAATACGATTTTGTGCCTAGCCTACTAGTATCGGCAATAATTATACAGACACGTATTAATGTCACCGATTAAAAGACTAAAAGACATTTTAGTATGAGGAAAGAGTTATTCCGTGAAGCGCGTCTATATAATGGCAATGTAACTGTCATGTACAGTATTTTTAATCTTTTACGGATTAAATAGATTTGTTACTTATGCATGTATATTTAAAATAAATTAATAACTACAGTATGGATTTCTAAGTTGTCGAATGCAAACGATCTCTTACTTGTTAGGATTGTACGACAATCGAAACGCATTTTGATTATCCACCACATGCATTGTGTTATGTTTCACACTTATCCCTGGCGAGAAATAAAATAAACATTTTTTGTATTTTCTAGAGTAAAAAAAATAATTTACATTGCCGTGATTAAATACTGTTTTACCGCTGCATTTAAGTTATTAATTGAATACAGTTGCATCTTATTAGAATAGACAATATTTCGTTACATAACGATTAGTCGTGAATCAAATTTAGTTCTGAAATGATATGTTCCTCTCATTACATTTTACTCTCATATTTTACTCTCAACTACGAAACCTGATTTTTAGTCTAGAACTATTTTGGTTCGGGACTAAGTTATTGATAGTTTTGAACTATTTTGGCCAAAACTCCCAAATCCGGCCCAAGTTGGCGCCAAAGTATACCATAAGTACATACCATAATAAAACTATAAACTAATAATACCCTAACAATTATTAGTCTTAATTTCACCTATGAACCTTTACAATGTAATTGAGTGGTTATCAAGCCATTTAAAGTGAGATTATGAAGGATTCCAAATTTTAATGGACTCATCATGATAGGTAATTTACCCAACTAGACGGAAACAGCTGAAAAATGTTTAGAATAGAAACATGTTCCATTGAAAACTATTTATTTTACTTTTAAATACCTTATCCGCTATCGTGTTAAAAAAACAAACAACGCCATCACAACCAACCCAATTGAACATTACACACTGATCATCAGTTTTCACATCAATCGTGTTCATTTCCCAAATGTTTTTACTCGGGCCACTTATAGCCTCTATTATTGCATGTGTCGCAACGATCGATTGAGAAACAGCCGATTCCTGTAACGAAGATCCGATGTAAGGGATCATTGTTTCAACCCACTTCCCGCGGTGTCGGTTTTGGTATTTCACGTCAGTCTAGGCCAGTGTTACACCAACAATGACACATTTGTCCTTAAATTGGCGTGTTTACGTAGCTCGTGGGAATGGTATTTTTGTCAAATCGCATAATCTACATACTTAATACAGGGTTTTCTTTGTAACACCCCTATTTGACCCGTCCTACCAAATCGATTTATACGATTGTGGTGTAATTAGCTTATTATCTAGCGCACCTGTGAATGATAGTCTGATTAAGTAATATCCCTAAAAAGGCAACATCCCATAGTAATTCGTCTCCCTCACGTTTAATTTATTTCTAGAGTCCATTTTCAAAAATCCAGTTATGCTGACCAACTTTCTTTATAACGGGTTTAAATGTGAAATGTAATTTAACAACTGATATTAAAGTTGAATGTTTAATCACAGTAAGATTGTAAAAAAGAGATGAAACAGTTGTACCTTCATAAATAATTATGTTCTGATTGGGGTGGGTGAATCTATCTTTATGGTATAGATTAACTATTAAAAATTTAATTTATCGTAAATGAGAAGTTTTATTCATGTAATAACTGTCTTGAACAAGCATGGCCTTTCAAAGGTAAAAGGGTATTATTGATTCGTTTTGCCTCGAAAAAAAAAGCGTCGAGCCCCATTAAAATGTGTTGTTTTCGCACAGCCCCCTTGTAACTCAATTATTTAACCGAAGTGAAACAAATTTACATGCATTGGTTTTGTAGTCTTTTGATCTGTATGAATCTATCATGCACCTGTTCTTCGATTTGATTTCGGCAACTATTCTCGTAGAATATACCATATTTATCATCTTTATAGATTAACTGAAGCAATTTTTCGCAAAGCAGCGCAACTGTTTTTAATACAAGCGTTGCGGGGCTTAAGTATGTATTTTCATTCCAAGGGCAGATAAGAATCGGCTGCGTCAAAGATATCAGCCGTACTTATTGAAAATGAAATTCGTCCGCTGACTTTGCCGGTGAAAATATTTCTCGAAAATATGACCGCAATGTTATTACAATGTTTGTGCTTACGATCGCGTCACATTATAAATTTCACTACAATAAAATGCCGTATTATTGAAATTCTACAAATTGAAATGTAAAAATATACAAATGTAATTTTTCAATTTGGATGTAATATTGTGTTGGCGGAGTAACTGATGCATACGTAACTGCACTTACAAGAACTGTTCGTGTTTTATCAAAACATGATTGACACATGTTTAGCTATTTTATAACAACGTATAACATTTTTGAGGATTATTAACAGTGGTCGCCACCTTATTTCCACGGATAGTAGAACAGTAACGGTATGGGTCATATGGAAACAAATTATGTCACTGGCCTGAACGATATACTAAAAACATAAACATATATGGTTTGGACGTTTTTGACTGTTCCATTTCAATAACAATACAAACCTGTTTACTTCATGGCCAGTGACGTAATTTGTTCTAATTCGTTCATCTTAATTAGTTTCATCTTTCGACTTGCTATATGATTTTGGTTTTAATCGATAAAAGTCTGCGTTTTACATTTAACAAATTACGCAATCATAGAACTCTTGACCCACTTTTCGGGATCCTTCCTTTGGACAGTATCCTTAACTTGTATCCTTAACACAGTATCCTTAACTCTTCAGGTAAGGTTTTAAATTTCATTGCAATATTTTATAGTTTAAACCTCATTGTTATCTAAAACTATCTAATCTTATGTTTGTTTATACTCTGTATTAAGATATTGTGACAACATCATGTTGCATTACCTTAACTTTGGATGCCATCTGGATTCATTGTAATATTTAAATGGCGAAATCCATTGGGATAGATTAATTGATTAATTAAGCAATGCTGGTACCCTATAGTGTCAAAATATAAGCGGTATGACGGCTGAATAAAGTTCCCTTGACGAAACGTTTAAAATGAGGTAGTTACACTACTTTCAGTAACAATTGAAGTATATGATACTCGGAACATATTTCAACAAAGTAGCGGATGTAGCATCGTATTTATCATTTCGGGTATGATACGCATGCAAACTTACACCAACACACTGAACTGAAAATAAATCTGAAAACTGACAAAAGTGTCACGAAATTAGATTTACGACAAAAACACTGAGGACGGTTCATTAAAAAGGGGTTGCCGCTGAATCAGGCTTGGGCCAAACGGGAGCCTAGCGCGAGTTAATTATGTCAAAAACCTAATTGGTGAAAAAGTCATACATTCCGAAGTGGATAAGGTCGTGTTTTTGTGTCCTCGGGCTCGGAGCCCACATCTGGGGTATTTGTCACCGCTCTTTAGATCTGCCACGCCGACGTCATTGTCCGTCATTCGTCAATGAGTGTACAGAGTGTCCCCGAACTCTCTACCGACCTTGATGATTCTTGGGCCAAAGGAAATATAATATATTCAAATTCCAAAACTCGTCAGTTATCTATCCAAGCTGCCATTTGAGAACGGGGTTTCGTAGTAAAATGCAATTCGGTACATTGATAAAATTACACAAACATATATTTTGAGAAAAAACAATGTTTTCATAAGGTTCAGTTTAATTGTCGTCCACCATAAATGTTAATAAACATAAATACCCCCACTGCAGCAAATGTGCAGACTAAGCGAATTTCAATTAGACTTGTACTTAAATATTTCCATAAACAAGACATATTTATCCTCCATTTAAATAGCATTAGATAAATAGCATATCAGGTGCCTGGTGCCTGGTGGGTCATGTGCGGAGTTCAGCGTAGGCGATGAGGGACGCTTTTGGAGATAGGACCTTGTGCGTGATTCAGATGCACCCGATTTAACGAGTGCTTACAAAAGCCAATAGTTGTCCATACAATCGCCATTTTGTTTCTTATTCACAATCTTGTTCTTGTTTGGGAACAGTTTTATCGTATAGTGCAATTTGGTA